TGAGACGCCCGTGCACCGCTTCTGGCTGTGCACGGCCACCCGCGCCCTGGACGATGCTCCTGTCCAGGCCACAGAGTCTCTGGCCCCGATTGCGATCGCGGGGAACTCCTCGCCCCCCTCCATGTGGTGTCGAGGGCTGATGTCCCTTGGCCAGGTCGTGAACGACCTGCCCGCCCCTCGCTCGTCGGCCGGGGCTTTCGGAGCTCTTCAAGGGGCCCGCTCTCTGACGGGGCGGGGGTCTGGGGGATCGATTGATCGGTGGGTGGTGAGACTAAGGATTGGAGACTAAGGAGGTGCGGGCGAAGTGATTTTTGTTTCATGTCAACGAAGCTGAAGTGGCAGGCGGTAGTTGTGGAACGCGACCGCCGCCCTGTCAGAGCTCCCCGCGCCCAGAGCTCTTCGCCCTGCTGATGTTGCTTATCACAGCCGCTGAAGGGAGTATTCCAGCGTTTTCTGAGCACTGTCGCCTCGCGCGGAGCTTTCGGACATCCCCCGGGCACGTTGTGAGGAGCAAGAGTAGCAGCGCGCTGGACCTTTGGGCTCGCGTTTTGGATCGTCTCGGGGCGCACTCGGGCCAGGCTGATCTCCGTTAGGCGACATCCCACCCCTCCTAGGCACAAGTCGATGATGAAATGCAAACCTCGAGAGGGGAGCCCATTTTGAGCAACGCAGCTGACCTGCGTGCTGGCGAAGGCGCCGGTAAGGGCCAGTTGGGAGCTCAGGAGATCAATACTGTCCGTGATGCAGACGCCCTCCAGGAGAAGATTCTGTTGCGTCTCCTTGCTATCCAGCGCGAAGTGCCCCTCACCTGCTCCCGAGAGGCCCCTTCCCCCAAACGTCTCGCGGCTGCCCGCAAGAGGCCGGGCATCGCCAGGGCTGGGGCGAGAGTGGGACGGCTCCTGGCCGCTGGCCGTGACGCCTCTCGTCTCAGCACTGCGTTCCGTTCTCGGCGTGCCCGATCGTTCCCTCGCAGGGGGCCCCCGTCTAAATTTTGGCCTCAGATTTGCGCCCCCTTGTCGGGGTTCGGACAGGTTTCGGGGGGGTGGACTCCCCAAGCGGAGAGGGAGAGCGCCGAGCCGCCCTCGCTGGTGGTGGCGGACCTGCAGGCGCGCCGCCCACCCTCCGACCATCCTTTGTTCTCTGCCGTCCACCCGTCGCACGCTTTCGCTATTTGTCAGGGCGCGTTGTTTTGCCGAGTGCGCGGGGCGCGCGGTGTTGGTCAGGCCCGCGGGCTACTGTGTGAATGCGGGCCTCAACTTGCGAAAGGGCGGGAAGGCCCCCTCTCTCTCTCTCTTGTCCCGTCGGCCCCCGCCTGAGTCAGGCATGTCTTCCCCCGTGCGGGGATGAATGTCATGTGTGCCCAGGCTTGCTCTTGGTCGCCGCAGTCAGCGCAATCGCAATCGCAATTATCCTCGTCCACCTCTCTCCTCCTCCTCCCTCTCCGCCCCCTTCCGCATGCTCCTGCTTCTCCTCCTCCTCCTCCTCCTCCCCCCCCTCCTCCTCCTCCGCCTCCTCCTCCTCCTCCTCCTCCTCTTCCTCCTCCTCTTCCTCCTCCCCTTCCTCCTCCTCCTCCTCCTCCTCCTCCTCCTCCTCCTCCTCCTTCTCCTTCTCCTCCTCCTCCTTTCCCTCGTCCTTCTCCTCCTTCTCATCCTCCTCCTCCTTTCTCGCTGCTCCCTCTCTTCCTTATCTGTCCATTTTCTGGCGGTCGCGCCAGCGCCGCCTTCCCTTTTCCTCCTCGCCTCAAGACCGGATGCGCCCCCAGCGCAGCCGTCGATGGGGGCGGCGACGAGCGGGGGCGAGGAGGGCCGACAGCCGAGATCCGACAGTTGCGGGGCGCGGGGGCGGGCAGGGAGCTGGAGAGCCCCCGCCCCCTCTTACTCGTCGCGCAGAAGTCACGACCGTCTGTTTTTTTGTTTGCACTTCTCGGCCTCTGGCCGCCCGCGCTGGCCCCGGGGACCGTCAAAAGAAAGGTTCGGGAAGAAGAACGGGCGCCAAGGGGAGGGGCCCAGACTTTCGGGGCCCCACGTCGTGAAACATCGCGACGTTTGAAATCTTTGGGAACAGCAAGCTTGAGTCTGAGAGCCATCAGTTGCGTATCTCTTCGCCCGGTCGGCACGCGCGTCGGGGGCCTGCGCGGCGCGGGGCGGAGAGGAAAATGAACTCAGGGGGGGAATCGAAGCGGCGTGTCCGCGAGGTCATCGTGAGCGGTCCTGGTGGCAGTGCCACTGGAGCTACGTACGCTTCATGCTTCGTGTGGCCCAATCAGGCCATCCAGAAAGAAACGTTACGCCATGTATGTGGTGAGTTCAGGGTCCTGTGCTGGACAAGAGGAGGCCCCAATATTGTCCCAACACTGGCGCCGAATATCCTCCTAGGGGCCGGCCTTGGCCCACCGCAGCAGTGTAACGGTAGTATTTTTGTCTTGTGCGAGTAGGCTGTCGCGTCCGTGGATGGATTGGAAGCGAGATGTCGGATGGTTTGTATGCGGAAACAAGTGGGGACGGAAGGGGTAAAGAAGGCAGTGGAGGCGAGAGGCGGGTAATCATCACAGCGGGATCCGGCAATTTCGGGAAAAATGCGGAGGTGGAGACAGGGGGGGAGCAGGAGTGGAAACAACAGAGCAGAAGGAAGAAACGACAGGGAACATGGGATAGGAAGGCGGAGTAGAAGGAAAACAACACATGCAGAGAAATTGCCAGAATCGTGAGCATGTAGAGGCGACAGCATTTGAGATGGAAGGTCGAGATTGAGAACACACTGATTGCGAGACGCCTGAAGTTCGATGCCAATGTGGCCTGCGTGAAAGTGGAATTCACAGAACCCAGCACGCGTGCGGTTCTTGTACGCTGCATTCGTATTTACATATGTATAGACAGTTATCTGTACATGTGTGTACCAGTATGTGCGTACATGTATATTCACGCATGTCCAGCCGCTTCACATATATATATATATATATATATATATATATATATATATATATATGTGTGTACATTCGTGTACGTGTTTAGTTGTGGTCGTTGGGCATTACAATAGATACACACAGCCATACGTTTATCTGCATGTATATATATATATATACATGCACAGATGTGTACATGTCCAGCTACCACCTGCGGCACCCCCCGCCACCGTGCCTTTGCAACAGCGTTACAGGACGGAGACCGAATGTAGGAAAAGCGCAATCCCGATGAATGGTCTGATAAGACGGGTCGTGAAGACGACCTCGTGTTCGTCTGCGCGGTAGAAAGGAGGTCCAGTTCACACCGCGTGGCAGTACAGTAGTTGGTCTGAATTGGGGACGGTCGGTAGGGGGGCGGAGGAGGAGGAGGAGGACGAGGAGGAGGTGGAGGAGGAGAAGAATAATATGATGACGATGAGGGGAGAGGTTCTCAAGCTCTCTTGGGGCCTCTGGGGGGCTTCCTGGGAGCCTCGTGCTGGGCCCTTGGGATCCCCTTGGGATCCCCTTGGGATACTTGTGGGGCCTTTGGGGGGGGTCTCTTACGTAGGGTCTATTGGTCCGTCTCAGGAAGGCAATTGACCCGTCTGACGCTTTCGGAGGCTGCTTTGGGGGCCTTTCTTGGCCGTTTTGGTGCCCTCTTGGAGCGTTTTAGGGCCGTCTTGGGGAGCCTCTTGGGCGATCTTTTGGGCCGACACGTGGCCCCCTTAGGAGCCTCATGGGCTGTCTTGGAGCCATCTTGGAAGCCCCTTGGGCTGTCTAAGAAGGTCGGTGGGCGAGCACCTCACAATCTTCCACTCATCTTGGGGGAATCAATGACCTTGTCCTCTTCGGGCTCTCCTGGAAAGCTTTTTGGATCCCTCCTGAGCCGTCGTGGGGGGCCTCTCATGACGTCTTGAGGCCGTTTTCTGGGCATCTTGAGCCGTCGTGGGCCATTTTGAGCCGTTTGGGTAACGATGTGCGATGTTCCACAACAAACCTCAGATAGAGAGAGAGAGAGAGACAGCGTGAGAGAGAGAGAGAGCGACAAAACGAGCAGAGAAATAACAACTAAGCATGGTAAAGACAGAGAGATAACAGAGAGAGGGAGCGATGACAAACAGAGAATGAGAGAGCGAGAGAGAGAGAGAGAGAGAGAGAGAGAACCAAACAAAGAGATGGATAGAGAGAGAGAGAGAGAAACAAAAAAAAACACGATCCAAATAAGCGGGGAAGGTATTGGGGGGGCAACGCAGCGAAAGGGAGCATGCGCTGGCGCGGGAGATGCTGGCGCTGGCGCGGGGGGAGCCTGCGCGGGCGAGGCACGGGCCGCAGGGGGAGCGAGCGGGGGCCGAACATGTCCGACCCGACCGAAAACATCCCCAGATATGGTGATCGTTTTCATGATCCCCTGTTTTGCCGATCGGCGCGGGCCCTCGCCCCCTTCCTCCCTTCCCCCCCCAAATGGAGTAGATTTTGGCTGTCTTGGGCGCCTGCTTTGAGCAGGTGGAGTCAACCCCACAGGACGCACTGTTGCAAACAGTCGCATGACGCAGAGTTCCTGAGCCAGGACCCCTCACCTCCCCCCCCGCTCTTCCGCCCAATGTCGGAACGCCGAAGAAGAAAACGCCCACCATGTCCGACCCGACCGAACACATGCTCAGACCTCCTCCTCCTCCTCCTCCTCCTCCGCCTCTTCCTCCTCCCTCTTCCTCCTTCTCTTCCTCTCCCTCCCTCGAGCTCACTCCTCCTCCTCCCCCTCCTCCTCCTCCTCCTCCTCCTCCTCCTCACTTCCCCCCTCTCCTCCCTCCTCTGTATCCTCCTCCTCTCTCCTTGTCCAACGGTATTACCTCCCCCCCCCCCCTCCCTCCTCTCCCCCCCCTCCCCTCTCCCTCCCCTCCCCTCCCCTCCTCTCCCCTGCTCCCTTCCTCCCTCCATCCCTCCCTCCCTGCTCCTCCTCCTCCGCCTCCTCCTCCTCCTCCTCATCCTCCTCCCCCTCCTCCTCGGGGAAGCAGCACCGACACGGCCGCGGCGGCGTCGGCGCCCGGCCGTTGGCTCCGAGGCGTCCGGCCAGGAGCTCTACCCCGCCGCCTGGGGCACCATCATCCGCCTCGTGGCCACGGGCGCGCGCGTGGAGTTGGAACGGGCTTCGGCCTCGGCGCATCGAGGACAGAAGAGCCTCTGACCTTGAGGCGGGCGTGTCCCTCTTCAGGAGGAATATTCAGAAATAGTCAATGACATGGTCCTATCATCCTTAGACTATGTTGGAACATCTTGTTAACCATGTGTTCGTCCAACATCTGCCTGTAGGGGGACATGCCCGACCTAACCCTAACCCTAATAGCAGACAGTGAAGACCCATGCCGAGAGGCACCCTGCTTGCCTCGAACACCTGCTGTAGTGAAGACGTGGCCTCACTTGGGTTCCCCTCTTCGCATCAGGAGAAATATAGCTGGGCGGTTTGGTTTGATACACCTGCCGAGTATATCTATATCTCTTTCTCTCTCTCTCTCTCTCTCTCTCTCTCCCTCTCTCTATTTATATATATGTGTATATATATACATATATATATATATATATAAATATGCGCTAGCCCCCCCCCTGGGACCCCATCTTAAGAGAGAAAAGTAAAGGACATAGCGGGAGAGAGAGAGAGAGAAGGAGAGAGAGAGAGGGGGGAGAGAGAGAGGGATAACGAACACGAAACGCATATCAGAGTGAGGGGGCCGAACGGTCATTCACTCTTCCTGGGTGCGTGGCTGAAGTGGAACTCCGCGATGCGAGTTCGTGTTGTTTGTTGTTTGTTGTTTGTTGTTGTCGTCGTCCTGAGTGGGTCGCGGGTGGGTCGCGGCGCGGGTGGGTCGCGGGTGGGTTGCGGCGCGGGCGGGTCGCGGGTGGGTCGCGGCGCGAATGGGTCGCGGGTGGGTCGCGGCGCGGGTGGGTCGCGGGTGGGTCGCGGCGCGGGTGGGTCGCGGGTGGGTCGCGGCGCGGGTGGGTCGCTGGCTCCGCGCCAGCCCGCAGGCCTCCTCAATCTTATCCGCAATTGCGGGGTGCTACATACATATGGATGAGTGTCTACGACATTCTACACGCTGAAGTCGGATGCGGCAAATAACATTAATATTTGTCATTCGGAAGCGACCTGGTTGCCGAAGGCGACGTGGACGCGTTGGCTGCGATTGGTGAGAAGGCGCTGATGGCTATTTTCACAGCAGGAGGCAAGGGGACCTGCGTCGGCGACGCCCGGCTCGACAACGTCGGCGTTCGCATGAATGGAGACCTGGCCATCTGCGACCTTGGAGGGTGGAAATCGGCGACGTGCTCTCTTGGCGCGACAACGTTCCTCCAGTCCTTCAACGACGCGCTGGCCAAAGGCGGGGTGGCGACGCACGTGGACCTTCACTCGTGGACGCACGGGTCCACGCCTCCGCCAGGAGTGTTTGGTGACGCGCGCGGCCTCCGCGTCACGTCGGCGCCTCCTCCCCCGCGCCTTATTGCCCCCGCCGCCATTCCGTGGACGCGCTAGTTTCTCCCCACGGGCCGCGCCTTCTACATCAATACGGACACCGGTCTGATGCAGCTGGCTGAGCCGCCCACCCCTTTCGTGGACGGCAGCGGGCCCGCGCAGCCAGCGCTGCCTGGCTTTGCGTAGATAGGCGGCAATGGCTTCGCGCCTCTCTTCCCCGCCCCCCTTGTCGCTTCTCTGGGCAGTGCGCGCCTCTTTTGCCGTCGAGGGCGATGCTGTGCGCGCTCGCCCCTGATTCCAGGTGTTGCCCGCTGCTCCCGCGACCCCTTGCTCCCCCCCCTTCGCTCCTCTGGACAGTGGCGCGCTCCTTTTGCTGTCGAGGGCGATGCTGCACGCGCTCGCCCTCGATTACAGGCGTTGCCCGCTGTTCCCGCTACCCATCCCCTTCAATTGCTTCTGTGAACCAAATTCCCCCAAACCGCTGCAGCGTCGGATATTCCCAGAGTTCCTAGGGCCTAGAGGGCCCGGTGAAGATCATGAGGGGGGCCCTCGTCCTCCTTAACCTCCTGCCCCTCCTCCTCCTCCTCCTTCTCCTCCTCCTCCTCCTCCTCCTCCTCCTCCTGGTCGTCACCCCCGTACAATAACTAAAGAGGAGGCCCCCGCCTGAAAGATCCCAGCAATAACTGAAGAGGATGCCCCCGCCTAAGAGATTCCCCAAGCAACTCTCTGACGAGGAGGCTCCCGCCGGAGAGGTTACTACGGCGAGGGCAATGGATGAGCCATCGTTGGATAGGGAATCCAGGGTTTGGAAGCCGGCGGGGCTCCAATTGTGGATCGGCCGTGGATGTCGCCACTTCCTCATCGGATAAGGGATCCCGCAAGGTCTGATGTTTCCGGGGCACATTCCTTAACCAATGCCCCCGCCGTAATCGCAGTCTCTGAAGGGGCAACTTCGCTTGAAATGTCAAACCAACAAAAAACAAAATGCAGAAGGCGTTCGCTTGAGAGGTCCAAACAACTCTCTGGCAAGGAGGCCCCCGCCTGAGAGGTCCCAAAACAACTCTCTGGTAAGGGGGCTCCCCGCCTGAGAGGTCCCAAAAACAAATTCCCTGGTAAGGATGCTCCCGCCTGAGGGGTCCCAAGAACGCCCTGGTAAGGAAGCTCCCGCCTGACAAGTCCCGAAACAATTCTCAGGGGAGGGAGTTCCCGCCTGAAAGGTAAACAAAAAAAAAAAAACGAAAAGAAACCCACGCACCATGCCTCCCATCCCGGTAGCTGTCCCAGAAAAAAAGTTCCAGAGGAGACCCGACGCCGCTGCCACAGCTGCGGTGACAAAAGGCAACCATCTCCTCTGGAACGTTTTTTTTTTTTTGTTTTTTGGGACAATTACAAGGATGAAAGGCATGGCGTTTGGGTTTCTTTGTGTTTTTTGGGGCCCCTCAGGCGGGAGCCTCTTCCTGTTTGTTTTTTTGTTTGGAAAACCTCTCAGGCGGGAGCCTCCTCCCACGAGAGTTTTTTGGGGGGACCTCTCAGGCGGGACCTCCTCCACAGAGTTTTTTTTTGGACCTCTCAGGCGGGAGTGTCTTCCACTTCGCGTTTTTGGGGGAGCTCTCAGGCGGGAGCCTCTTCCTGTTCGCGTCTTTTGGGGACCTCTCAGGCGGTAGCCTTTTCCTCCTCACATTTTTTTGGACCTCTCAGGCGGGAGCTTCAACACAATCAACACAATCAGCAGAATGGAGTAGGTCCCTAATGAGGACGGGTACCTTTCAATTGTATGGTTTTCTGATTGTTGTTGAGTGTGTTGGTGTCTGTTTGTTTTGATTGTGATGCTATCGATTGCAAGCGTTTTTGCAACAACACATGGCCAACACCTACATCAACTAATTTCTTCGTTTGAAACCCTCGGGCTTGCATTTGTGAAGATGGGGTCCCAGGGGGGCTACCATATATATATATATATGTATGTGTGTATGTTTGTATGTATATATATGTACATATTCATATATATGGATGTGTATCTCTAAATTATATATATATATATATGTGTGCATATATCCATACATACATACATACATGCATGCATACATACATACATACATACATACATACATACATACACACATACATACATACACACATACATACACATACATACACATACAAACATACATACATACATACATACATACACACATACATACACACACATACATACATACATACATGTTTATATATACACAGAGACATGTTCGCCCTATTGGTTTGGGGGGCCTCTCTGCTTAGGTCCGCTCCCAAAGGGTTAAGGGGCACTCTGGTTGCTCATCGTCGACCGTGGGGAGCGCTGGCCCTCCGCCCGGCCGCCTCGTCGGGCGGTGCCAGGGTCGGATCTCAGGGAGCGGCGGCTTTCCCCAGACCCCGCGAGTCATGCAACGCACACCAGGAAAAGGATCTTCCAGGGCCCTTACCGGGCCTCGGGGCCGTGAAGCAAACGACAAAAACGATTCGGGATGAAAAGCCTGTTCAGAGGAATGGGTCGAGACGTCTGGGGGTCGACGTCATGACAAACATCATGATGCCGGGAGTCTGGGCTCATGGAGCGGATTTCAGTGAGCGTCGCAATTTTGAAGCCTGGCGATTTCGCCAGGGTTTGCGCCCTGCGAGTCTGGCTCGAAAGAAACGCGCATGGAAGGACTGGGGTCCAGAGCTCCAGACGTGATGATTCGAGGTGTTGCAACTGTCGCGGTGGAGACCCATGCCAAGAAACACCTTGCTCGCCTCCAGGGTCTCCCCTGGTTTCTTAGGTTTCGATGGTTCTGCCGTGGAGGGCGTGACGCTCCCACGCCGAAAATTATTGGACGTTTTCCAAGACCCCGCGAGTCTTGCAACGTCGGATCTCGGGTAACGGCGGCTCCCGGGAGTGCCAGTCGAGAGATCACGACGGTCTCGGGGACTCGGCGGTGCAGGAGCCGTGCCTCCTCCTCCTCCTCCTCCTCCTCCTTCTCCTCCTCTTTCCTCCTCCTCCCTCCTCCCTCCTCCTCCTCGTCTTCCTGTTCCTCCAGCGGGAGGAGACGGAGGAGGCGCCCACCAAGCTCAAAACCAAGAGCGCTGGGCAGTTTCGCTCGGACCGAGCGGGTGGTAACGGGGGGGGGCCCAAGTTGGGGGGGGTGAAGAAAAAGGACCCCAATTTGTACCCTTTAAGGCTCTTCCGGAGCCAGCTGGTGCCCTCGAGGGCCCCTTTGGGGCCCTTTTCCCCCCCCCCCCCCCCTTGGGTGACCCCCCATTACCACCCGCCCGACTGGGGCCGTCCAATAAGGCCTCGGGCGCGCAGACCGACAGCAGTCTCTGCCGATATTGAACAAGACTTGTTGTCGGTGTCGCCGCGAAGGCTGCCCACGTGAGCCAAAAGTCCCCGGGCGATGTCGGTTTTAGGCAATACTTGTTGTACCTATGTTCGGCGACGAGATCGGTCATGGCGCGCCAGCATTCCGCCTGGCCGCCTCTCGCTGCGCAAACATCACGCCAGGAGGTTTTGGACCATGGTCTGCCTCCGGGGGCCCTCGCCGGGCCACGGGGGCGTGAAACCATTTTTTTATTGGGATGGAAAGGAGGTGCAGGGGAAGATCTCCAGAGCTTTGGGGGTCCACGTTGTATTTTTTATAGATCAGAAGAACGCAAAAGCA